AAAAACGGCGTCAACGATGGCTATGAAATGAAGATCGCTGTCATTTTATATGTAAAATTATATGGGAAATGTCATCGATCGTCATTTCCAAGCCAACTGGACGCCGTTTTTTTTCGATCATACGGTATATATGAATTTACAATTACCGAGTGTTAAAATTAAAATATCTATCTTATTTATTATTTTCAAAATTAAATAGATTTTTTTAAAATAAAATATACAGGGTGTCACAAGATTACAAAGTAATTAAAAAATAACAGCTAAAGAGTTTTTTGTAAGTATTTCACCTGATATCATAATTTTATGTATTTGGCAATAGTTTACAATACGGTTTTTGTGTGTCATGTACGAATAATATCATAGTTTTATTATCTTGTATTTAATTGTAATGTTTTAAATGTAATTCATTTGAGAATGAATTACAGGTGCCCTTATTTTCTATGAATGTAATCGCTAAAAGAGGTTTCAAATCTCTTGGATTTCTATTAAAATTAAATAAATTTTATTAAAAATTGAACTAAAATTGTTAGTATCATTAAAAACAATTCAAATTCAAAAATTTTATCAGTCAAATTCCCTTATTTAAGGTGAATATTAAAGTAAATATAAATACAGCTCGTTCTAAGCTCTACTTATCTTTAAGAAAAATTTAAATCATCGTTGCAATTGGGCCTTAATGCCATTTCGAATGAACAATAGTATTAATAATGTACATTATAATAATAATAAATTTTATATCATAGTGTGTATTAAAACTACTAAAACACTTTTAAATTGGTATTATATTAACAACTTTTGTTTTTTAATCCAAAAAAAAGTTACCAACTTTCTCAATCAAAATATTTGTGGTCCTGAAAAGGACCTTCGTTTTCCCATGTTCGTCAAGGTAGGTAATGGGTAAACGGTAAAAAACACAGGATAATGAAATTTAAAATTTTACAAAAATTGTTCAAAAGTGCCTCCCTCTTGCATTAAACCAAACGATCATAAAATCCCCTCCTCACATTGGATAACATATCAGGGGTCCAGGGGTGACAGTGTCAAAGGCATTAAATATTTTCTGCCTTAACTGCTCCAAGTTTTGAATTTCTTCATGGCCGTAAATTTTAGATTTTATGTACCCCCATAAAAAGAAATCATTCACCGAGAAGTCAGGTGAAATTAAACGTCAGTCTAAACAAAACTGTCATTTTTGAAAAATTGTCAAAATTTGGACACACGCTAAATGGACTTGTTTTTCCTATGTCTCGAAGTCTTTCTGTATAATCTCACAGTAATTTAATAGATTGCTCGTCATATTATATCAGCTCGTAGGAGATTAGGAAAAAAAAGATATTTATAGTATAAAAAATTAATTTATTTAACAAAATTTAATTAAAGATGTGACAAAATAGTTACATTTCTATTGGTTCTATCGGACTTTTTTCGACTATATAAATCTTTATTTTTTGTAAACTTTAATGCATAAAATATTATCAATCTAATAAATAATTTAATGACGTAAATAAGAGGAAATTTCTCAAATGGGTGGTCAAATTCTATAGTTTTCATTATATCAAACAGCCTCTGAATGTTTTCTTCAGTGCAAAACTCATCAAAATTTAATATAAATAATTTTTCCAGCCTGTAAATAAAATGAACAAATTTTTCCACTTTCATGATCAAAGGCTTTTAAACGGGTAAATAATTTCGAGTTATCCAGAGATTCGGATTCTTTTGCAAATTTTAGACAAATATCACATTGATGTATTTAAAGACCCTTTTTAATGATGTAGTCAAACATAATTAAAGGCATTTTGAGTTGAAAACATTTCTCAGAGGCTGTTTGATATAATGAAAACTATAAAATTTGACCACCCATGTGAGAAATTTCCTCTTATTTACATCATTAAATGATTTATTAGATTGAAAATATTTGATGTATTAAAGTTTACAAATAAAGATTTATATAGTCGAAAAAAGTCCGATAGAACCAATAGAAAGGTAACTATTTTGTCAGATTTTTAATTAAATTTTGTTAAATAAATTAATTTTTTATACTATAAATATCTTTTTTTTTTCCTTATAAATAAACACATTTGCATCCCATTTTAAATAAGATATACAAATTACCAAAACTTAGAAATAACAGTTCAAAAGTTTAACAAAAATCCTACACGCGTTTTTAAAAAGAAACAGATAACCACGCACTATGTCATTCCACGACACAGCATAGGTTTCCGGACTAAACGACTGATGTATTTCCACCACTCAATAGGCGTGTCGGGTTTGCCGAGCGGTTTCCGATGCAGTCGCTTTCTTTCGCATCTGTTGTAGTTAATTTGTGCGCGTAGTAGTAACATAGGCAGAACCGGACGAATTAGCGTATACCCGTTCGCCGGATAAAAACCGGGCGAAAAAATGCGATAAAATAAAAATAGGTAGATATGTGATAAGAATGTTTCAGAATTTGTATTTATTCGTGTTTTAATAGCCAAAACGAATACATAGAATCTCGCGACAGTTCTCGTGTAAAATTTATTTTTTAAGTAAAATAATGGATCTTTACGAAGTTCGTGAAAAAATTCAAATTGTAAAATGGTATTTCCAAAATAGGTCTTATCGGAATATACAAACAATTTTTCCACAAACTTTTGTAAACAGGCCAATTCTCTCTTTACCTACTATATCAAGAGTTATTAATAATTTTGAAACACATGGGTGCGTTTTCCCACAAAAACACAAAAAACCTGATATGTTGATTAATGAAGGAGTTACAGCAAGTGTTCATTTGTGCTACCGCGGATCAAAATCCCACGTTTTCAAGTAATCAAATTGCTGAGGTAACAGATTCTTCACCTAGCACGGTTAAAAGAGCCCTTAAAAAGAATGGATACCGATCGTATAAAGCGCGCAAAACTCAAGAAATTTTCCATGAAGACCAATTTCGGCGTATGGCGTTTTATTAATCTGTAATGGAAAAGGCCAATTTTTGATGAAAACTTTATTCGGCGTATAGTTTTCACCGACGAATTAAGTTTTCCTTTATTGAGTCGTCATAACCCTACAGAAGTACGATATTGGTCTCGGGAAAATTTGCACAGATATTTTGAGGTACGCACGCAATATCCTCAAAAGCTACATGTTTGGTTAGGTTTGGTTTGGTGTTTTGAACACTTGTTATAACTTTTTTTATTTAGAGTAATATTTTAGTTTTTTTGGGTTTAAAGAATTTATTTACTTTAAGTTTTGGCTTGTAAACACACCCAAATAATAAATATTTAAGTATTTTTATTTTAAATGTTACCTTAAGTGAAGGTAAACACTTAAAATGAAAATAATAAATACTCGGCTTCCTCGCGTCGTGTTCCTAGTCTGTCACGACAGACCCGTCCAAGCACAACTGCAACTGCCAACTGCCTGACCAGCCGACTAGCCGGCAGTGAATCTCAAGTACGAACGCAAATCGGGTAAACGTAAATTCGTTCGGCAACTTGCTATGTTGCTAGTAGCCTGGTCTTCTCTGTATATTAGACCATTTGCTACGTTCTTAGATTTTAAGTCCCAAACAACGCTTCTGAGATTTTGTCCCGCTAGAATAACCATCCGCCGCACTGTGAAGCGCTGGTCCCTGCGTGACGTAAGCATCCACGGTGACTACGATAGCGGAGATTTGACGCGATCGAACAGTCCTTTAGAATATATACCGTATGATCGAATAAAAACGGCGTCAACGATGGCTATGAAATGAAGATCGCTGTCATTTTATATGTAAAATTATATGGGAAATGTCATCGATCGTCATTTCCAAGCCAACTGGACGCCGATTTTTTTCGATCATACGGTATTATACAGTCCTTGACACGAACCTGTATAAAATTGTTTTTTTTTTATTTGAGTACTCTGGGGGTACTAATAAGCGGTTTAAAGCTGAAAAGGGCTCCAAAATTGATGGGAAAATTAATCGGCTTTTCAGTGTTGTCTGTTGGAAGTGATGACAGTCGAAACAAATTTGGGTCAGACGCGTCAGACTTTCAACAGGACCGAGAAAATACGATAAAAAAATATCGAAAGCCCATTTAGAGGGCAAATATTTGATATGACAGTTCGCATAGGAATTGAAGGATGGAAAAATACGAATATATACTTAAGCAAATATAAATTTAACGAACAAAAAGCGTATGATTTGAAAAATAAGAATTCTATTATGATTGGAAATATATTTACAGATATTTTTTTATGTGTTATGAAAAACATTTCTTCAAGTATATGTATAACCAATTTTTGGCTATTTTTTTCACATTTTCAAAAGCGTTAGAAACATAGTAAGCATTGTCATAAAATTATGAAAATTTTAGTATTTGTAGGAAATTTGATGTAGAATTTATACACCTTTGAGGGCTTAAGCTTGATTTTCATGAATCCGTTGTCCGACGATACGATGATACGATATTAATTTTATTGGTTGAATTGAAAGGCTTCGATTGGTTAACCGTTTCTAACCAAACGAAGTCTTTAACTTCAACCAATAAAATTAATATCGTATCATCGTATCGTCGGACAACGGATGCATGAAAATCAAGCTTTAGGCATTTTTTGGACCCTTGTTTTTCAAATATTTCTGATGAAGGTTAAGACGTCCCCTAAATCAATTATTACTATTCAATTTTCAAGGATTATGCGCTTTAGTAAGACATTTGTGGAGACTGGTAGTACACATTGGTCGAATGGTCGAATCTAAGATATATATCATGTTATATCCCGTTTTCTTTATCTGTTCTGTAGAAATTATATTTTATGATCTAACTTTTATGTACCAATCAGTCATAAATGAAAATATTTATTTATTTAACACCTTGTTCTGTTTTCTTGAAGATCTTTAAGCTACACCAGTAACGTCAAATCTTGAAAAAAAGGTACATACATATTAAGTTGAGTGTTTTCAAGTAAAAAAAAATAGCTCTTCATAATCATTGATAAATCTCAGTTGATCTCACTTAAAATTCTATATTTTTTTGTAGATGCCAACAAGAAGTTGCAAGACGTATTGGTGGAGTATTGTGGAGTTGGACCTCACTACAAACACAATCCAGATGGGGTAAGTGTAGAATTCCTTTTTTTTGTACTAAAACTAAAGTGGCTAGATTTTGAGTGAACCATTGAGGACGCAAACAACTAGGGTGGCAAACAATAGAGGGCAGTTTTTTTAAGAATAGTAATGTTCGAATATACAGGGTGGTCCGAACTGTATTCCGGAAACTTCGGCAGCATATTCTGCAGATAAAAATAGGTAAAAAAGTTCGTATAAATGTATGTCCTAAAATGCTTAGTTTCGGAGATACAGGGTGTAGAATTTTCATTTTCATTTCGATTTTTTCCAAATAATTTCTGAAGTAACGTCAATATTTGGATGAAAATTGGTGTCTGGGAGTTTTTTGACATGAGAAATTTGATTTTAATGTCAATATGACTCCTACTTGTAGAGGGCGCCACTTACATATTTTTTAACTGGTTTGAAGACTAATAACTTTTTGTCCGTACCTGTATAAAACTACAGAGTAAAAAAATGTACATTTACGACGTTTTTACGTGAAAAAAGTCTCTTGGTAAAAATCGCTACGAGTAATGGTTTTCGAGATATTTGGAATCGAAATTATCAATACCTGTCATCATTGACATAAATTAAACCTGTTGACTAAATGGTATTAGACCGAAATCATAAATTTGAAATGTTTTTGTGTCAAAAGTTCAATAGAAACTGTTTTATCATCATTTTTTGCAGAAAAAATTATGATTAATTTAAAAAAAATAAAAATTTCCTAAATTTATTATTTCAGTGAAATAACTACCGTATGATCGAATAAAAACGGCGTCAGCGATGGCTATGAAATGAAGATCGCTGTCATTTCATATGTAAATTTATATGGGAAATGTCATCGATCGTCATTTCCAAGCCAACTGGACGCCGTTTTTATTCGATCATACGGTACCTACTCAATGTGTTCATTTTTCGTCAATAATGATATGTATTGTCTATTTCCATTCTAAATATCTTAAGAACGGTTGCTCGTAGCGATTTTTATAAAGAGATATTTTTTACGTAAAAAGTCCCAGAGGTGTATATTTTTTTACTCAGAAGTTTTATACAGGTACGGACAAAAAGTTATTACGCTTCAAAACAGTTTAAACACATGTAGGTGGCGTATTATTACCTCAGGATTGTGAATCCCAAGTACTCATTTAAAGCTGAGTCGACCTAGGTACCCAAACTATTTTTTATCTTAATAAAAATAGTCGGTTGATGAAATGCCGGGTGTGGGATTCGAACCCACTACCTTGAGATTCGTAGACGGGAGCCTGTACCTCTATACGCCATCGGACACCTTAATGATCGAATAAATTTGTAAATAAGAAAGTTGGTCTAAAAAGGAACCAGGCCAGGCCTTCCAGTCCTCGGTACCTTTTTCTACCACTTTACCCGTTTTTAAAGTTTTCTTTTTGTAAAAAAATAAAGAAAATAGGGCTTATAAAAAGAGCAAAATGTCAAGTCTGGCTGTACGGTCCGCTACGTTGATTGATCGATTAGATAATCTGAAAATGCCATTAGGCATTTTAATAAGCTCTCCGCTATATCAGATTTCCCGGCATTTCCCTTAAGGGAAATACGTTTCCTGCGCCAGCGAAAATCTACTTTATAACCCAACGAGATATGGGATAACGTACATTGATTATATAAAGGGGTATTGAAAAGTACCATACGATCGAAAAAAAAGGCGTCTAAGACGGCTAGGGAACGACGATCGATGATAATTTTGGCGAGGTCAATCTCTAGACGTCATTTTCTAAAAATTGACATAACACTTATCAAAATTAACACTAATTATAGAAAGATTTAAGATGGACAGAACGTTTACAGAGACACAAATCCCTATTTCCCCAAAAAAAATCTCTTTTTCAAATACACCATTTAAAAATCATTTGTAATCGATACAAAAATAAATTACAACTTCGTTAATGCCAACTGGCAGTAAGCTCAAATAAAAAATAACAGTGCGGGCCAAGTGAAATGACGTCTAGGGGCTGGACTTAGCCAAAATTATTATCGATTGTCATTCCCAGCCGTCTTTAACCCCGTTTTTTTTTCTATGGTATAAATAGACAAAGCTTACTATAAAATGATGTTACGTATCCAAGATATACACCTCAGATATAAACAGAAAAATGCTACGTTGCCTAAAGCTTAGACCGATCATATCGTGTTAAGCCACATCCAAAATTCCAAACACACGTGCTTTAACTAAGGCTTGATTAAGGTTTGCAGCTCTTCAGCATAGTGATGGGCAAAACTGTTATTTTTAGATAACAGTTGAAACTGTTATAGTTATTTATAAAAAACAGCTTAAAATAACAGGTTTCTTTATTTTACTGCTAAGTATCTGAAAGAGTATGAGGTGGTCACCGCCAGGCGTATTAACGCAGTTGCAAGTTGCAACAATGACGTGCTCGGTGGTAGTATTTCCCGGGTGTCAAAACATTTCTAAATATCGATTGTTATCTAAAATACCTCTCTAAAAACGGTGGTTGTTTACAAATAAGCGCTGTTTAAAAATTGCGATATAAAAAAAGCCAAAATTCCGCCACTCGTCTATACCTATACATTCCGGTATACCTACGCCCTGCCCCTCGATCCGCGTAGATCCTGAATTGCGTAGCAGTGTACAGGGTGCATCTCACTCGACGGGCGAGAAGCTCTTAGTTATGATTTTAGCATTTGCGGTCAAAAAATAGCAATATAAGAAAATGTGTAGTATATTCTTCATAAGTAAACCAACTACACACTAGAGTTCGAATTAATTTTATACTTAAACTAGCGTGTACCCGCGACTTCGTTCGCGTCGAATTAATAATTTCTAATGGTGATGATAAAGCAAAACAAGAATTTCCATTAACATACAAACTGGATAAAATTTTCTCACATTTGCCAAACATAAGCTTTAAACGTCGAGCAGTTTAAGCAGAATCGTGGTTAATCAATCACTCAACTTTTGGAACACCCTGTATGATTTTTTAAATAATTTCAAAATATGTAAAAAAACAAAATAAATTATGCGTGTCCAGGCGTTTTCCCGAAAGACTAACCGTTTTTTAAATAACAAATATTGTAATATTTGAGGGGCGTTTTCACCCTGTTGGAATTTGAGATTCGAGACACCCCTCCTTATCGAACCTCAACCCCACAGTCAATCCGTTTGCCAAAAATCAGCTTTAAACGTCAAGCAGTTTAAGCAGAATAGTGATTACTCAATTGTCATATTTTATGAAACACCCTGTACATATTTTTAAAAAATCTTAAAATATGTAAAACAACATAATAAAATATATGTGTTTTAAGAGTTTTTCCGAAAAACTCACCGGTTTTTAAATAAAAAATATTCTAATATTTGAGGGTAGTTTCACCCCCTTAGAATTCGAGTTTCGAAAAATCCCTTCTTATCGAGCCTCTACACCCTAAAGTCAATCCGTTTCCAAAAATCAGCTTTTTACGTCAAGGGCTTTAAGCAGGATCGTGATTAATCAATGACCAGGTTTTTCAAAACACCCTGTATACATTTTTAAAAAATCTTAAAATATTATTCTGAAAATTTTTCAGAATAAATAAATACCTAAATATTGAAACTTAATAAGTAAGTACTGAAACATACAGCGCCATAATATCTCGACCTCCGCCCGTTATGCTCGTAACAGGTTGAAAAACAATGTATCTAAAACAACGTTATTCTCCAACCTGTTTCGAACCTCCATCGACAATCGACTGATGCAGCAGCGTTCCTTTCCCACTCCGATTATCTCGACCGCCGCCCTGTTATGCTCGTAACAGGTTGAAAAACAACGTATCTAAAATGACTGCTTCTCCAACCCGTTGCGAGCCTCCATCGACAATCGACCGATGCAGCAGCGTTCCTTTCCCACTCCTGTTATCTCGACCGCCAGGCGTTATGCCCACAACTGTTTCAAAAAACCTGCTTCTTTTATATCCTATTATTTTTAAGCTGTTGTAAGCCTAATACGACCATCGACGGCGTCGACCGAAGCAGCTACGTTCGCCGTAGCGCATTTCCCACTCCGTTGTCCGTTGTCTCGCCGCCTCTATCGATGGTTGACGAAATAACATGTTTTTCATCCATACTAGTTGCTTTTTGGAATTGCTTCGAGCAGCATAGAATTTCGTGGCGGTGCAAAGCGCCGACTTCGTTTTTCGTTTCACGAGCAGCCGATCTCTACCTGTCGTTATTTTTTAGAAGTAGTAACGGTTGCGTTATGTTATTTATAAATAATTGTTATAAAATAACAGATAGTTAAATAACAACCCATCACTACTTCAGCATTTGCCATAAAATAGCGAGCAATTTGTTACAAAACCATATAAATTATATGTCACCATGATCACAAAACTTCAATCTATTTCCGTATTGTAACGGAATTTTAAATTATGGCTTTATTTTCGAGAAAATTTAGTCCAAACATAAGGAATATTTTGTTGATGTTTGACCATCAAAATCTTAAAAATAAAGAAGTTGACTAAAAATTTGCTACATACGGATATAGTATAATCCTTTATCTTTAATTTCCTTCTTCATTTGTGTAAAAATTCCTAGCCAGTTTTACATAAAACGTTAAATTAATGCCGAACGCTTATTTTGCTACTTTTTCGAACTAGTGAAATGGACTCTTTAATGCCAAACTTAATAGATTTTTTTCTATTGAAATTCCGACTAGCGTTTGATCGTAATTATTTCCACACTAAGTAAGTTTTTCCCGGCTTCCTAATTGGACAGAATGAAAGGGAAACTAGTGGGGGGAAATGCTGGGAAAACGTTCCAGTTTAATCGGCGCCCTGGCTAACGAGAAAAGCTCTCTTATTTTCCCGGCGGAGAATGAAGGCAGCTAGGACGTAACAAAGTTTTCTTTAGATTAGTTTCTGGAAACTGTTGGTTCTAATGCACTCGCTCGGCATTTTTCTTCCTATAATTAAAGCGAAGACAGAATTACTGCAGATTTTTTGCAGCAGAAAAAAAACGATGGCTTTGATACAGGGTG